GTGTGCGCGGGGACCGGCTCCTGGGCTGATGCGGAGTGGGCTGGTCGGTGCCCTGATCTGGTTTTTTGGAAGGGAAACCAAGCGTTTAGGTTGAACATCCCATTAAGATGCGTGCTAATCCAGTCTCCCCAGGTGAGATGCCATTGTCTTATCATCCGAAGGACTGGGGTCCCCTCTGGTGTTTCCTAAGATGGCCAGGGGTCCGCCTTGTCCACCGTGACCTATGGCTATTTTTCTTCTCGCTTTTTTTTTTGGAGGGGGAGGGGTCCTCCCTATATAACCCAGGCTGGCTTCAAATACATGACGATCCTCCTGCCTCAGCCTTCAGCCTACCAAGTTCTGGGATCACAGGCATATGGCCTCACGCCCGGCAGCTATTTTTCTCTTTAAGACAGATTTCTGGTTCTATTTCCTATCCGGAGATCTTTCAGTCAACGACTCTGGGCACGGAGTCCTCTTGCATCCCTGTGATTCACTCACTAACATCTGAGAACTGGAAAACAATCAGATATGTGGGTAGCTTTGGGGAGGTGTGTGTGGAAGTCAGGATTTGGCCTGATTGAAAAAGGTGCTATTTTCCATTATTGTCTCTTAACCTTCGGAGCTTCCCCGCAGGCATGGAGAAAAAAAATCAGCCAAAAATTGAGAGAGCAACCTGGGGTAGGAACGGGAATTGGATGAGGATTTGCACCCCAGAACCCAGGACATCTCCATTGCATCAAATTTTGCAAACAGACCCACTTATCTCAGGCTGCTTAAAATTGAGTAAAAGCCCAACTTTTAGCGACTCTGGGCTTGTTTGTTTTTAGTTAGGAAGGCTTGGATGCCAAGACAGGTTCTTATGTGCACATCAAAACCACTGAAAAGAGCTGGAGATTTAACTCAGTGGCGCTGTTGCCTGCCTTGCAAGGTCCTGAGTTTGATCTCTGGTACCGCAAAACAAACACACAAAACCATCACCAACAAAAAAACGATGAAAAGAGGAAAGGAAAAGGCAGGAGTTTACTTGTGGTCTGAAATGCGGTTTTCTTGATGTGAATCTGCTACACAGTTCTTAGTTTTTGTTGGGTTTATTATTTCACAATATATTTGCAGAAATATTCTGTTCTTTGTTGCTCAGATACGATTAGTTGGTTATAGGATCGACTTTTATTCCACATCATAACTATTTGATACACACGACAAAGAATGAAATTCATTCTTGTCTGGTTATTCAGATTGCTTTGAATGTGTTTTCTGCCTTTATTCTTCCGAACTTTCCAAGCGTGAGGGGTTAGGTGATTGTGCTGTTTTCCCGTCATTTTTCTCATGTGGAATCTTGTGTGTTCAAAGGCAGCCTGAACCTGCTCGTCTTTTGGTAGACTAGAAGAGAGCAAGAGAAAAGGGCAGCATGTGGGGTCAGGGATGCCGCTGAGGACTGCAGGAAAGTCCCTTCAAAGTCCAGAAACGGAACTGGGCTCTGTCAGTGTGCTCTGATCAGGATGAACCTCAGCCAGATAATCTAGGACTCGATCCCTTTTAGGCTCAGGATACAAAAAACGAGTCCTGGGAAAGAAAATGGCCTGAAGATTCCAAAAGCTTCCCCTTCCTAAAAACAAAACAAAACAAAAAACCCCAAAATGACAACAACAACAACCCAGTGGTTATCTGCAATGGGATCTGAACTCCACTATCGTGTTCACTCATTTGGGTCTTCAGAGAGATCTTATCTTTACATTGTGTTGATATCTGTGTGTGGAGGTGGTAACTAGTCTTGGAGAAGCTTCGGAGTCTGTCACTGTGTGTTAGATGAGAAGTGCAAAGTGGCACTTTCGAAAGTGTCCCGTCGAAAGGCTAAGACCAAGACAAAACACGGACAAAATAAATAGGGATGAAAATACAGAGGTTTCAGTCCATGATTGGCTGGCTCGAAGGCAGGATGGCACAGCAGATAGGCATCGTAGAGGAGGAATAGTCCATGGCGGGCAGAAGGTAGCAAAGCAAGAAGGGAGGACCACAGCTCTTTCTATCCCTCATATTTTATCCAGGCATTTAGGGCAGGCAGCGCTCACACCCTTAATCCTAGTCCCTTGCTCCTAGCATTGCATCACGCATCAGTCACACACTCTAGAGCCAGCCACCTTGGAGAAAGTCCCACCTGTGACCCCGTGAAGCTTCGGGGAGACATCTATAAACGAGCCATAGCAAGGACGAAGACTGGTCCTGCCCTCAAAGAGCTAAGTATGTTGGTGACGAGATGCAGGGAAAGGTACTTGTAATGCAGAACGGACAGTGCACCCGTGGCGAGGCGTAGACCTGCTTAAAGGGCTGCCTGACAAACGGCAGGCGGTCAGATCCTTCCACCTTTAAAATAAGAGGGGTTCTTAGATGTTAGTAACTGCAGGGTCTGTGTGTGAGTCCTAATCTTTCCTGGGACACCTGGAGAGGCGTTGCAGGAAGCTTTGTTCTCCAGATCACCCTCGTTACTGTTCCATGGTGAGGGTTAGACTGCAGCTCCGCAGGTGGGGCTGGGCTTGCTGGTTGGCTTTACTGCAGCCAGAAGCTGCTGTAGAATTTTTCTTCGAGAATGGAGAGTAAATAAAACAACAACCGTCCTTCCCTGTCTGCCCCCCTGTGAATTAGTTTAGTAGAGAAAATACACATGAGCAACAAAAACAAAAAATGAATCACTCAAACGCAATATTCTGTGACCTTGTCAGCCTCGGGTGCTGCTTCTTTCCGATGTTTTCCTGTGCAGATAGAATTGCCTGAACAGACATTTTAAAAAAAGAAACGAACGTAGATTACTTTGTACCCTGTTTTTTTCCCCCCGCTTAATAACAAAGAGTGAAAAATCCACCATAGCACAGGTGGGCATCTTCATAATTTTAAGTGGCTACTAAAATGATTTGGGGTGGAATACTTCAGGCTTTGTTCAAACATGATGCAGAAGAACCCGCTATTGAATGAGAGACCAATTTGTTCTCTGAAATGAGATAATCAAATGATTCATGCCCTTAAAATCCTCCTCAAATACAGACTGAGGCCGTTAGAGATTTACTTGTTAGGTTAAAGTACAAATAAACCCTTCCTAAGACAGTGTCAGCCGCGAACTCTTTACATCAGCGTTATCAGATGATTTGTCCAATGGCCCCTTGATAATAATGCTTCCTGCCAAAAGGGACACAGTTCTGATAGAAAAGGAGAAAAATAGTCCTGAGAGAGAGCATTCCCCTTTCCCAACCAAAGGTCAGTCTCTAACCCTGCCGGTCCTTTGCAGCACTGCATTGTGGGTGAATTATTGAACCGGGCCAGATAAACACTGTTAGTGATAACTAAATTTCACAACTCCTTCTTCTGTCCCTAAATTTGTCATCCACAGAATCTCCCCATCATTATGTTTTTCCTTTCATGATGTCTCTCTTTTCATCCAGCTTCTATTCCTCTGCTCTTCTGTTCTGTTAGGTTACCCAAGTCATTTTTGTCTCGTTTCCGAATCCTCCACTCCTGCCTGCTTTTCACAGTGCTTCTCCCACTTGTCAGGATGATAGCCCCAAATCGCCATTTTGGAAACACTTAATTTGCAGTGAGAACAAAGGCCCTAATTGACAGTGGCTGAAATAAGGTAGAAGTCTATCTCTTTCTTAGGTAAAAATCCAGGAGCAGATGCAGGGCTCATTGAAGGCTGCTTTCCATAGAGTTGTTAGGATCCAGGTTCATCCTATCTTGCTGTGTTGTGCATGGCTGACTTCCACAGGGCCACTCCAGGATCCAAGATGGCTGCTCCTCTCTAGTGGTCGCATTCCAGCCAGTGAGAATAAGGAATGAAAACAGCCCTACTCACTAGAACCACGCTGGGAGATGTAGTCTTTTATTCTGAGCAGTTAGGTGTCCAGTGTAGGGCTCTAGAACAGTAGGAAAAGGGAACATCCATCTTGGGAAACAGCTAGTGATTTCTGCTACATGTGGTTTGACTTTTTGTCTTCAGTATAGCTGGAGTCACTAGCTTGAAGACTCGGCTTCAAGAGGAAACCATAATAAATGTTGAGCAACACCAAGACATCTGAAAACATGTTTTAAACCATTAGGATTCTCACAAGAGTTCCCTTAAATTTAGTAACTCTTTCTTGATTTTCCTTCAGTGATGGATTTATAAAGGCGATTGGCCCAGCTGATGTGATCCAAAAACAGTTTTCTGGAGAAACTTTTGAAGAAAGAATCGACTGCTCTGGGAAATGTATCCTACCAGGTACTTACCTCTGCTTCAGAAAGCTCTGAGAGTAGCTTTAATGGTTGCCTGCACCAAGTAAACAACAGTGGCTTGTTGGGCAATAGCATTAAAAGTAATAATGGCTCCCAAGTATTGAATTGCTACTGTTGGTTTACAAACATGATTTCCTGCTGAATCCTCATAGGTACCCTCTAAGGTAGGTATCATCGTCTACAAGTTATAGAACAGAAAACTCAGGGCTAGAGGTGAAACACCTTATCGACATTTGCTAAGCAGGTAAGAGGAAAGCTGGTTATTAAATCCATTCCCTCCCGACATTTCTCCCCACTCACAGACTAAAAAGCAAACAACTGTGCCGTGTTTAGGCCAGAGCGGTTGAACTAGGTGAAAGAAGTTTCTTTTTCTTTTCTTATTTACATGATGATTTTCCCAGCTGGTAGCAGTTTGGAGAGAAAAATCCTGTTCTGCCTTTTTTTTTTGTAAAACAAAATACATATCTTTTTAAAAAATTCATTAGTTGTATTGGCACATTTAAGGTATACACTATAATGACGCTCATCATTGGAAATTGGCACCTTTACTTAATCCATCTTGGTGCTTATGTTTTCCCCATTCCCCTGCCCTCCCTTCAACCCCTCCACCCCTCCCTATCTACGAAGACTTTGTTTCCTTTTTTTTTTTTTTTT